GCTAAGATGCTAAAATGTACATGATCCAGACACTTCGTGCGCTCCGAACGTACTGCGTTCGACGGCCGGCGACCCCGCCCGATCCGCTGGCTGCCTCTGTCAGGGGCGCGCTTAGTTTGCTCACCTCAAGAAGGAAGGCCTGAACCGCCGCGAGGACGCCGCACGGCCCGCCCTTCACCTGCACCAAACCGTACCGCAGAAACTCCTCGCCGCAGAAGAAGAACCCCTGCTCTCTCCACGCGTCATTGAACCTCTTGGACGGGTTCCCGAACACCAGCTCCCGCACGCCGTTCGCCTGTACCTCCGTGACCGCTGTCCTTCCCGGAAGTTCACCCGAGCCTCTGCCGCCGTCGCCTCCAGCGGACGAGGGTATCGTTGCTTGGTTGTCTCCTTGCCCTGTGTGGCGAAAGCCCGCGCCACTGTTTCCGGGGGCGGGGTTCCAATCTTGGCATCCCCCTTCTGCTCGCCTTGTGTGTAGAGTCGTCGTCGTCGTCGTGGTCGTCCGCACCCTGCGTCGTGGCTCCACGACTAGCTCCTCGTCGAGGCAGAAATCTTCCACGTCGACTTCATCGACCTCCATCAGCTCTTCTTCGTGCTTGGCCGTTTGTGGGCCTCCCCCAGCGAGGCTAGTAGGTCTGTCGATGCTGTCAGTACTAGCCCTGCTGTTGCTCTTTCCAGGGTAGTACCCTCTGCGGTCACCCTCAAAGTTGCCATGAATGTCTAGCTTGCCGCTCTCCGGGGGTCCCGATGACACCGACGATAAGGCATTCGACTTCATGGAGCTCACGTGTTCCTGCCGTTGTTGCTCCTGCCTTGCACAACGATCGGCCGAATCGGAGGACCAGGAAGAAAGAGTGGTAGCGCTGCTTCTCCCGGAGAACAGCCCACTGACGGTAGAGGAGGTCACGGACCCGGCAGCCGTGCTCCCACTTATGACTTCGTCCTGCTGCTGTTCAGCGTTGGATGGTGATACGGATATCATCTCGCCGTCGTTGCCGGTGGAAGAATTTTTTTTGTTGGCAGCACGACGATCCCGAGAGTCGCCAGGCGGCGCTTTCAGCTTTGCCTCCGCTTTCAGCTCTTTGTACTTCTCGTAGCACGCCTTCTTGTTGTGGGTTCCTCCTACCAAAGCCGACACCCTCCTGAAGCGCTCGTTTTTGCCTAGGGTGGCAGGTACATCCTTCAGTGCTCGCCTTAAGGCCTTCACCTAAAGAATAGGGATCCAGACCGTGATTAAACGCATAGCGCCTCCAAGCCAACACTGCTACGATGTGTACCAGAATAAAACAACAACGTATGCTGTTCGTGAGGTGGATTATGCCATCCTTACGAAGGCTACTGCGGTAGTACTCATGTGTGGTTTTGAGCTATGTTAGTGCGCAAGTACGTGGCCGTCCATCGGTCATTTGGATCTTCGGGGTATCTCCGGTAGTGGTATCTTTGGCAAGTTGTCACGCGTTCCGTGCTGTCATGTGTGCCGAGTTCCGCGACTGTTGCTCGCGTGCCTCAGTGTTTGTGATGCACTCTGGTGCCCACTCTCTTCCGTTGCTTGTGTCTACGAGGACGACCAATAATACGACTTTACCATCTCTTCACATTGTCAACCGGGACAGTCGTGCTTATCCAGCAGCACTCGGCTTGGGGCCAATCAACATATTGGATCGCTGAAGGGTTTACGTTGGCAATCCTGGTGTGACCAACCTGAAGACGGTAGACTCGTGCGCATAACGGACGCTAGACATCATCAAGTGGTTGTTCGTAATAGTCTTGTCAAATTGTTTTTGGCATGTTGAGTGCTGGATGTACAGCCATAAAGAATCTTTCGCGTCTTCTCCTTATGCGCTTACTCAGGTGCGGTGAAGTACGTACGCGAGATACACCGAGATCCAAATAACTGCAGTTACGGCCGATACCTCTCATGGTAACCTACATCTTGTTTTGGCCAGCAGGCCCCTCGTGTCCTAGATCTGGCCTCGCCAGCCGCGGCCTCTTGTTGCATCTGCGTCCCGATGCGAGATCCTGGATGCCGGTCAGAGAGAACACTCCTTGAATGAAAGCTCACTTGTTGCTAAGTACACAAGATAACCATACGAGGGTCTACATGCCACCACGTATATCCTGCACACATGGGAGCGATGGGTTATAGTTTGACAAGATCCACAATGTCCGTGTTGGGAAGCTGCTGTTAAAGCAGTAAAACGCCGCTGCTGATGGGTGCGGCGAAATGTGGTAGGTTTGAACTTCCGAAACGGAAGTTCGTTTTGGTTCCCTTTCGAGCCCGAGAGCTGGACAGCGGGACAGCGGCGGGACCAAGGACATGCTGTGAGAGCGTGTCCCTCATTCCTCATTCCCCTCTCTACCCAGGATCGTCCAGGTTGCCTGTTGCATCCACAAGATTATCTCTTCATCATGGCGGGCATAACCCTCAGGAGTTTTGCTGAAGGCAACGAATCCGGACCTACAGTCGTCTTTGTACACGGTTGGCCCGATGACCACACTCTCTGGGACGCACAGGCGAGCAAACTTGGTTGAAGAATACTTCTTTCGAGAGCGGGCTTCACGCTGCTGTGCGTTGTGCGTGCATCAATCACATTTTCCAACCAGTGAATGTGTGCTGATTCGAGTATTTTAGGGCGAGATCCAAGTGGTGGGGTACTAAAGCAAAAGCTTGAACCCCGCCGCGTTGCGTATGTTGACGACATGATGTGATGTGTACTCGGAGTAGACTATTATCTATTCTACTGCTGTACAGTGTGCAGATGTGCGTTATTACCCTACCCCCCACAGCAGTACCTGAACCGTTTCGACTCCACGACGGGTCCCACGATAGCCTGACCATTGCAGCAACACATCGTTCATGTCCTGCACAGTTGTCGATTCGAGTCTTGTCAAACCACGGACGTATGTAGACTGTTGTGGTCAACTTATCACGCCATTAGACTTCGAACAAGATCCAGCGGGTGGGTAAATCGTAATAATCTGCCGGCGGAAAGCCGGCGGGGAAAAAAAATGTGTATTTTGACATTCTAAGTTCTAAAAATAAGAGCTTTACTTACAAGGTGAGTTCTCGCTTCCGTTCCTGGCCTGGATGGAAAGCGCTGGTTCGTGTGTACACGGAGGGAAGCGAGTGCTGCACTCTTCTCGCATCAAAAGCCAAAGGCAAAGTATACCGCATGAGGGGTGGGTAGGGGGCAACAGGGAGAAGGAACTGCGAAGGTGTACCGACTCTGGAAAAAGTCAATCGACGGATACCCTGCGAATCGGGTTCTCCTTAACAGAACCCTTCTGTGTGACCACGGGTTCGAGAAAACGGCAACAAGTGCTATGAGCGTTGATTTTTTATGTGAAGACAAAAAAAAAGAGCAGGGTGGCTGAGTTGCCCAGTAGGCATCCTCGCAACCTTGTGACGTTTGTACGTGGTGGGTAATATTGGCGCCGTCAGTCACACGGACTGCGATTTTTTCTCAATATTTGCCCCGACTAAGTTCCTCTACGAGACCGCTACGGTCTCTAGAGGTCTCACAGTTGTCTGTCAGTCTGTCGGCGTTCACTCCGAAGCTCCGAACGACGCGCTTTTTTGACCCGAATGTCCGAAGCGCGAGGAATCAGACCATCGGCCGTCCTGCACTGCTTCGGACGCCCTCAGCAAGTTTCAGCTTGATTGGCCCCTCCTGCGTTGTTAACGTTTGGCTGTGTCGGTGACCGGCCTTCTCAAGCACGAAACACGAGCGAGCATGCAGCAGGTGCTTCCGGCACCAAATTGTTCCGATCTCGATGAGTTTGTGCCTAAACGTTGCCTACGAAACACGAGCGAACATGCAGCAGGTGCTTCCGGCACCAAATTATTCCGATCTCGATGAGTTTGTGCCTAAACGTTGCCTATCCTCCACCACATTGGAGCCCCGTCCAATCTGCAGCTGGATTGCCAGGTTCTTCGACGCTGGAATAGCTGCGTGTCTACCAATTACGCCTGCCAACGAGAAGTTCGGGCCACACCGCTGCAACTTTCCAACGCGGGGGGGTTTATTCCGCTGCGTGTCGCACGCACTCAACAAGTTGACGATTGGTGATTCTCTTTTCCTCGTCGGAACACATGCATGCATCCATCAATGCATTAATATTGAAAAAGAGCTCCAATCTCAAACACTTAGCGCGTGCGTATATTAATAGTTACCTACCTGCCATCGAATTCCACTCTGCAGCGGGATTACCCACTTCGAGCCCGGGGTTAGCTTGCCAACAAAAGGGTGGGTCGGAGCACACCTCTGTCAAATGCCCCGCAGAGGCTGGTATTCCGCCGGGTCTTCGATCAGTCCAATACCTGCTCTTGTTTCTTTACGCGGGAGCACATCGTCAATCTATATGTTCTTTGTCGGCTCCTTTGACCAATGTTGGCCATCTATAATGATGAATGATGGGTAATCGATTCTCTACAGTACTACTACTGTTAATGTACTGTTACTATTTTTTTACGCGCGAGGGCATGATATAATTGTTGTTGACTTTTCGTCGGAACACACCAATCCATTGTACAGAAGAGTACCTCCGATCTCGAAGTGTTTGAGCGAATAGTTGCCTACATGCCATAAAATTGAAGCCCCGCTGTCCAATCTACAGTACAAAAGTCATTGCCTGCTTTGTGGCCAGGCAATGCCTACCAACGAGAGGTTCGGGGAACACCTCTGCCACGTGCTCCGCGATAGAGTACCGTAATCATGGGGGTCTTGGCGCATATCGGGGTCTCGGCACATATCGGGGTCTTGGCACAGGGTGTGCGGAAAAAAAGCGTGTTCCGAATGATTTGCTAGATTATCGTACAGGTATCGTCGTCTCCGCACACATATGTGCGGTGAGGTTTGGCGGTAAGTGATACCCTTTCACCAGCATCTTGTGCTGGAAATTCCGGATGCTGTGGGAGCTTGAATCGCGTGCTCCACTGCTACTGCTGCCCTTGGCACCATGACGATGTTCAAAAATGTGGTATTTGTACTTTTTGTTCTCTTCTTTTCGTCTGAAGAATCAAGATCGGCAAATCGGCGAACGGCATCCACTCAACAATTCTAAACGCACATGAAACCAAAAATGAAGTAAAAAATCACACCAAACTACCACTACGAGCTACCAACGTCCTACTACTGTACTTCCTAGGCGGGTTGAACTCTACATCGTGCCCGCGCCCCTTCCATTGCAAAAACATCGAATCTCACTGGCAAAGAACTATGATTCACAGTTCGACTACTTCGCCTTCGGCGCCCCCGCCCCCCTGCCCCTCTACGACTTCCACGTCGCTGTCGCCCTCTAAGACCTCCACCTCGCTGTCGCTCTCATCAGCGACGTAGGGCAGCAGCTTCCCCTCGACCTCCTTCTGAGCAGCCGTGATGGGGTTGGAGTTGAACCCCCCTGGTACCTTCGGCAGCTTGAGCGGCGGGAGAGTCACGTCGGGGTGCTCAGCAAGCCACACGGCGTGCTTCTCCTCGAGAAGGTCGCGGTAGTCTTGCTCGAAGTTGTGCTCGCACCAGGCGTGATCTTCGCTGCCGTCGAGCGCGAGCGTGAGACCGCAGATCTTGAAGAAAATCTTCACCGTCTCGGGGGTGATGGACTCCCACGCTTCCTTGCACCACGTAGAGACGACCCCACGCTCCGGTGGCTTCAGCTTCCCCGACCGGGCGTCTGCGACCGCCGACGCGCTGTAGGCGGTGAACTTGCCCCGCAGCAGCCGCTTCATCTGCTTGTTGAGCATGCGGTCGAGAGGTTGGAGCGAGTGCGTCAACCCGCCTGGGATGAAGATGACGATGGTGTTGGCGTCTCTCTTGAGGGCGGCGATGAAACCCTCGTCCTTGTGGCACTTGAAGTCGTCCAGCACCAGGATGCACGGGCGCTGCTGGACGATGCTGCCGTTATTGGGACGGAGCTTCCAGCTGCCCGAGATCCACCCGTTGCACTCCCGCTGGTCACTCCAGCTCTTCTCCTGCACGCCGAAGGACGTGCCGTTGGCAGGGTGGCCGTGCTTGGCGCGGTTCGCAGGATGGATCTCCCACGCGACGGAGTTTTTCCGCGGCAGGGTGCTCTTGCCCTTGCCGCTCACGGTCGGGGGGATGAACGGCGTGCCCTTGAAGATGATGCGCGACGAAACCTTTTTGCCGTCCGCCATGACAGCCAGAACGAGCGTGAAGCGTTCCTACTTTTTGCCTGAGGGGAGGTGGAAAAAATCAACGCTAGGGGAGCGGGGGGGGGGAGTAGGGTGTTGAATATTTCCTGCGAGGACAGCGATGTGTGGTTGATAAAATGGATGCAAACGGTACCGGACGTTTCGAAAACTAAGTTGGTTGATAGTTTGGATGCAATGAAAAAGGAAGTGTAGAATAATCACGCAGAAAAAGGTAGCAACCCTCTTGTGTCTACCGATAGAGCTACATCGCACCGTGTACCGGGACGCAAAAAAAAAACATTTGTCTTAAAAAATTGTCCAACGACAAAAAATCCGCACACCACACAATATTTTGACAAAAATATTAGCTCGCCCTCACCTCCTGTGCTGATGCGAGCATCCTTCGCACCGGTCTTCTCCAGAGTGATCTCCAACGGCATCTCGTGCTGGACTGGCGTCTGGTCCATGTTGCCGAGTTCCTCGAAAACCTCCACCTCCACAGACGCCAGCTGCTCGGAAGTCAGATCCTCCCCTTTGATGGGGCTCTCGTCAGGTGCCGGCGGGTGGCGCCGAGCGTAGATCTCACCGGCGCGCTTTACGGGAGCCTCGCGCAGCTTCATCACCGTCGCCCACGCCATACCCTCGTCGCCCTTCGGCAGTTTCTGGCCCACGCTGGTACGCCGGCGGATGTTGAACCCATTCCGCTTTCGGAACCGTTGGTACCAGGAGTTGAATTTGACCTTGAAAGCCAGCGCCTCCTCCGGTTTCGCGTTCGCCGGCATCCCGCCAAGGGCGTCAGGCTTCAGCTCGAGCAGCTTGTTCATCACCTCCCGATTACCACAACCGCGGTGCTGCTTGCGCTGCTCGTTGATGTAGTCCACAAGGGCTTGTTCGGCGTCGACTGTCGAAGCTTTCCCTCCGCTGTGAACCTGCTTGGCCTTCGAGAGCTTGGGGTTGGCGCTGACCTTCTCCCTGAGCTGCTCCTCCTGCTTCAGCCACTCGATGATACGCTTCCGAGGCACCTGGAGAACTTTCGCCGCGCCGTTGTTTCCCACCGGATGACCGTCGCACGGGCAGATCTCCCGTGTGTAGGCCGCCGCCTTCAGTTTGAACCGGATGGGGTAGCTCCCTGTCCCTCCCACTGCTCCTGACCGCTCCATCGGGAAGTTGGGCTCCGGGTACGCGCGTTTGCCGTTGCTGTTTTTGACGGGGTCGTTGGCGGCTAGCATTTCATCGATAGCCTCGCCGGTTGCCTTCGGGTCCGCAGCGGCAGCTCCCTGATTCGCAGAGGAAGGACCGCCAGCACTAGCCTGTGAGGCCTGTGAGGCCTGTGAGGCGTCGACAGGTCCCGCGCTTGCACCCTCCGACATCGTAGCCGCGCGTTGCGTGTGGTCGAGCCCGCAGCTCCGTCCCGGGCATTTTCCCGATTTTCCGCCGGTATTTCTCCGCCACGGAACTGTTGTGGTGGCAATTCCCAGAGACTCTTTTGTGTGTGCAGCTACTAGCTTGTCTGTTGGTTGTGTTGTGATCGTGTTGCAGCAATACCATACACGCGAAGTGCTGCTATCCCCTGTGGTTTTCAATGTTAGGATCGCGCATATCGGGGTCTTGGCGAAGGGGTGTGCGTTCGAAAGTCGCCGTACCAGCCGCTTTGGATTTAAACAGCACCGCACTATCCGGTCGCCCCGGTGGTCTAGTGGGTAACCTCGCAGCCTGCTAAGGGCCTGGTCATGAGTTCGAGTCCCGGCAGAGTGAGTTTTTCCCACTAAATATATCCTGGTCTGGGATGAAAGCGACGCGTTGCAAAGCTCGTTGTTAGTGAAACATAATCAATCGACTTCGTAAGTCGCGAGGGAAGGGATTGCTGTACCCTTCTCGCGATAAAAATACCTCAGGCAGGAACCGCAGGAGGGGGTCCAACCCCCCCCTCCTATGTGACCCCGGTTGGGTCGTCTAGCTAGTAGAAGTGGAGGATAGGGACCAGAGGGGCAGACGACAGAATCCGATTATGGGAGAAAAATAAAAAAAAGTATATATATCGGGGTCTTGGCACAGGGGTGTGCGTTGTTTCTTAGAACCAAAATATTTACTGCGTTTCTGANCTAGTAGAAGTGGAGGATAGGGACCAGAGGGGCAGACGACAGAATCCGATTATGGGAGAAAAATAAAAAAAAGTATATATATCGGGGTCTTGGCACAGGGGTGTGCGTTGTTTCTTAGAACCAAAATATTTACTGCGTTTCTGAACAGGTATCGCGAACTTGGCACATATCGGGGTCTTCGCACACCTGTGCGAAAAAAGTCTGAAGTTCAAAACATTTAAAAAATGCGACCGCACAGTGCGCCAAGACCCCGATGATTACGGTATTCCGTCGTGTTTTGGCGGAAACAATAATTTTTTGTTCGTGGTGTTCGCGCGCGCATGCTGTAGACTAGATAGACCGTGTTTGTCGGTAGTTGTACCATGATCGACACCGGCTTCACGGTTCTCTGCTGTTCTCGGTGTACCAGCACACGAGTGAACATATTCGTTTTGGTAGTTTTTAACGAGGATGAATGGTCGTGGCCGTGGTTTCAACTGGGATGAGTGGTCGTGTCGTGCTGGTGTTTTGCTGTACAGCAGCAGTGTACTGTAGGGCCGTCGAGTTTGTTTTCTTTAGCGTGGCATCACAGCAGTAGGGAGCTTGCGTTGTTAGATTTACGTATGTAAAAGTTGCGTTGTTACTCTTTTGGCACACGTCATCGTCATTTGTCGCTGATCCGTGCACCTGCAGATGATGCGTGCGGCACTGAACGCTGCAGGATGCAATAATATTGAAAGCGCGTACTTTTTTGCACGCAACCCCGATTTCTTGTGATTGCATGCAAATATGTGTGAGTCTTTCGTTCTCGTCTGCACTCTCCCCATCAGATAGATTGAGTGTTAGCCGATGGTTGTCCGTCTGCCTACCGCGTGCTTCTTGACGAAACCGTCGTCGTAAGGATGTAACAAGATTACACGCACGCATACCTTGCACACAGGTTGACACAGGTATTGATCGGTTGAGTGCGAAGCTCCATCTTGTCTGTGTTCTCTTCATCTACACCACCTTGAGTTGTACCTAGTCATGACGAGTGATCACAGCGTTTTACGTAGTTCAACTGAAATTCCGCGTTTGCAACGTCCGGTGGACACGAGATGCCCCCTAAAAAAAAAAAAACTCGTAAGAGGACCAGCACGGTTGCCCGAGACAAGCTGTGATACAATAGAAGAGGAGCCAAGCAAGTATCTTCGCCGTGTGTACGCAAGAATTCGACTTCGCGGTACACGAGGGAAAGGACGGCTAAGTCGTTCTCGTGTTGTCATGATGATAATCAAGGCCATCACCACACAAGGAAGAAGGCCTTGCTCCTCTCTGTGACCCCGGCTGATGCGTCCAGAACTGCACCGAAAACGTGTAAGGACCGGCAACCAAAATAAATAGGATAGCACGCGAAAAAAAAACACTTTTATTATCTTAGACCCTTATCTATCGATAGAGATGGATTTAATGTGTTATATTTGAGAAAATAATCTCAAATGAGAATCGGAAGATTATTGGAAAGACCCGACATGTCGTCCTGATACGGGACATTGGACACCTGTCCCGATAGGCGGAAAATTGCTATCAGCAGGGCTGCGTTGTTGACTGCAACCACGCTGGGGTGTCAGCTACTTTCGTTTGGTCTAGTACGGCAACGAGGAGCGGGCACGTTGCAACGGAAAGGAGGTCTGGCTCGCCGACGTTCGTACTCTGTCAAGCGACCGCGCGCACTCTCGCGATAACGAAGCGGTAGATCGCATGTATGTCAATTTCGCGCTACAAGTAGACCGTGTGTGGCTCATCCCCTCCTCCACCTGCACTCCGCGCGTGACGATGCCGCCGAACCCTTTTGGTCGCGGCAGGTTGCTCATCTCAAAGACAGGTACCGCTGCGTCACCACGGACCTTCCGGGCTTTAGCGGCGATGAGGACGGGGACGCCGGTACCGCCAGCAGCAGCAAGTGGGGCTACTCCTTCGCGGAGGTGGCCAAGCGTCTGGAGAGGACGATCGAAGACGTCGGGAAAGGGAAACCCGTCTTCGTCGTCGCTCACGACTGGGGCTGGTAGGTGGTAGGAGGAGGAGGAGCAGAGAGCAACGAATCTCTCCTCGTCACTTGTCATGTTCCTCCCTTGTAGCCAACGTCCGAATTGGGAAATGTCCGGCAGCGAGTGCTCTCCCCTCAGCGGCCGATTTGAGATCGATCTGTACGCAAAAGTTGAGGCGCCCCATCCGCTACTTTCGACAGTGATGACCACTTCATGAACCGCTTCCTCCCCGCGTGTGCGAAACAGCCCCCCCCCCCC